GTGCCTCAATCCCTTTCATTCAAATGGGCTAAAGGGAGCTTTGAAAGAGACTAAAAGAAGGAATAATGTTTACCGTTCTACAGATTGAATGAAGGGAAACCATTTTACAGGCCTATAATTTTATAGAACTGTAGGAACTAAATTACAGTAAGCCATCCTTATAAATGTCAAATTTATACCACCAAGAGGGAAAAGCCACCAAGGTTCAATAGAAATGATTAACAAAAGAGAGGAAGGCTCTAGAACAGTTCTGGCTGGCAGTCAACTCTAAGCAGGTCTATTAAGACCCCAGTGAAGCTTTTTCCTCTGTTACTTCAAGAATGAAAAACTGCGGGCCTTCTCACAGAGGGCATTCAGCTTTACCTTCCAAAACTTCCCATCCAGTGATGTGACAGACGTTGATAAAGCACATAAAGACAATGGGGTCCTGCCCTATGCTGCAAAGTGGCATCCTTGAGTAGACTCACTATTCTTTTTCAGGGAAGAGCATTTCAAATGTCCTCCCATGCCTTCTCCAGGCCCGCTACTACTCTCCAGTCTCCAGACAAAAATATTTGCTGACAACAACATCTGTGGTCTTGGTGTTATCAGCACCGCACTCTCCCGAGTGAGCCACAGGCCGGCCCCAATAGACTGGATCTTATCTTCTACTTCCCCCAACTCCTATTCTCTGTTTTTGCAAGCTTATTCTCCCGTAGAATCTCAATGGCTTTGGAATCAGACAACCCTGGGCTCTTATCCCATTTCTGCCACTTACTCAACTACGTGGCAGGTTCCTCATCATCTCAACCTCAGTTTCCTCATCTGGAAATAAGGATTAATAATGCCTATCTCATGGAGTTTTTATAATGGGAAAAAGAGAGTATATGTAAAATTTCTGGCATTTAATAGGCATTCAATAAACAAAAACTATTGTAATTAATATTTATGAAAAAGTACTCCTCTTCCTTCCTCTGGCTTCAAAAGAAAAGGAGTCAGCTAAGGTCTGGAATGTGTCATTAAATATGCTACCTAGCCAAGAAAGTATAGCAAGGTACCTTTGAAAACCCGAAACAATAGAGAGAGTAAATATTTATATGATTACAATCACAATGGAGAGATTAAAATGATCTTGTTTGTGCCTAAATAGTTTCTATCTAAAATTCAGTCAATGCTGTAAAAATATTAAATCTGTAAAAAGAACTCAATATTCAATCTTTTTGCCTCAGCAGTTCCTATACTTGATATTCCATTTGTCTGAAATGCATTCCCCTAGCTACTGCTAGGAAAACTCCTACTCTTCCTTCCAGGCTTGACTCAAGAACCACACTTTTCCTGACACCACCAGAAAGACTTGCTTCTATGATTACCTATCTTCCCACTGTAGCAAATAATTAACATAATTATCTATTTGTGTGTCTGTAGCCTTATTAGACAGCAAGTCTTATAAGGACACATGGTAATCAAAAGCAATTTAATTATTGTTTCTCTAACTAAAGTCCATTTATCCATCCATTCAAGAAATATTTATAGGATTACTATGTTCTTACATATGAGAAACAGCACTAAGAAATGTATGTAAAAACCATCAACACAATGCTTTTTTAATTTTCAGATAAGAAACTGTGTGCCTACCGTAGCTAATGAGGCACTTCAGGCAGGATATTGTTGAAAAATAGGCAAAATAATGCCAGATAGGGCCAAACATGTAAGTAAAGTGATAGAGCTGGAGTTTCTAAGACAAAAGATGCTGTCTCACTGTTTGACAATTTTACAGTATCAAAGCATCTGTAAAAGATAGGTCTTTGATATTTACTGAATAGATTCACCAATCATAACAAAATCAGCTGACAGACACAAAGTACTTTTTGGTTTAAAAAGTATTTTACATCTATTATTCTTATTTGGTATCAAGAAAATCCCAAGCCAGCAGCACAACGGGTCTAACCAAAGCAGTTCTAGCACCCAATAGTAATCAAGGCACTAATGTAACCTGGTAGATACTCCAGAATTTATTCATTCACTGTTGACAAATCTTTATTACAAACCTGGAATATATAAAGAATTCCTACTGTAAAGATGAAAGAGACCTCTCTTTAAAAGCCTGCTAAAGCAAAAAGGAGTTAATACTCTTTAAAAGAATGAAAAGCAGACCAAAGATACTTGTCAAATTCAAAGATGAGATAAAACACAAAAGTTCTATCATCAAGGAGCAATTCCCAGTATGACAATTCCTCTGTCTTAACAAAGCCTTTGCTACCACTCGGAAAGTGATCAATTCCTATACATTCAAAATAGCAAAATCCGAACTGAAGCTATTCCAGGTTCATCAAAGTAGGCAGAAAGAAGCCCCAGGGACCCTTTCCCAGCAAAACACTGGCTGAAATAAACAGCAAATGTCAATGTCCAAGGAAAGACTGGCCACTGCTCTACTGGATCTAAAGACCTAGCACAAGGGTCCCTGATCCATCCACTGTTAAACTGAAAACATAAACTTAGGTCAGAATTTATACTTCCTTTCCTACTTTCCCTACCAGTCTGATTATTTCTAGATTTATAAAGCTACATCAATCTAGATGGCTACAAAAAATGTCACTTTTATATACTCTCATAAAAGGTTTTATAAATGAGCAGTCAGAACACCAATATATAATAACCCATTTATAAAGGTAAAGCCAATTTTTCAAAATTAACACAAATTAACTCAACTAATTCACCCATACAGAATGGATATTATGTTTCCAATAGGCTCCATGTAAATTGATTTCTACTGTGCAATCTGGGTCTAAAACCCTTTATTGTCTTATAGAATTAAAAAAATTTTACAAGTAAACTTTTAGTAACAAGGGGGAATTAAAAACATGGAAACTCTCCATAGCTAAAGAGAGACATCTAGAGGCAAAAGCTTAAAGCTAGGGCCTTTTCTCACATCCTTGGAAATCTTGGAGCCATAAAGAAGCCTTTTAAAGTTCTTTCACTTACAATTATTCTCTAACCATGTGGTTTGTGAATTCAATTCGCCCAATAAAACACTTCTTATTTTAATCTATTATTTGCCATCTACACTGACAATATTCCTAAAATCCCAGGAGGCTAAAGTAAATCTCATTCATATTCTTACTTTAAATCTCCTCATCCAATCTGTTTGTTCTACTGGCAAAATGGCACAGGCAAATGATGGACATAGCTAGTAACAAAACTTAAATCTATAAGGGCTACAGATAGAGATAATATTAACCTGTGTCACAGCAGAGCCCCAAGACAATTACATATATAGAATGCTATAAAACCCTCAAAAGATTAAGGCAGAAGAAACTATACTTACTTTAATGAAAAAACTCTCTCATAAAATGTTTACTGACTTGGCTGATCGCATCAGAAAGATCTCTAGCTCATCTCTCTGTAACTGTAACTAAATCAAATACCCTCAGGTGCCATATAAAAGTGGCTCAAAGGCTGGTTTAATGAAAGTCATCAGGGGAGGTGTAGAGATGGAGGTAAACTGGAGAAGGCATCCCCAGATTAAAAGCACTCAATTTTTTTTCTCTTAATCTTAAAATGGCCAAACTACCCACACTCTCATGCTGACCTCATCCCCATTTGCTACGGTTTGTCTACAGATTTTCCAGACTTTCTCCCCTAATGCCTGATACTGAGTGATGCAAATTTTTAAAAAGAAAAAGTAACATTAAACGTCTATAAGTATAGAAAATGTCTGGATGAATATATCCCCAGGTGTTAACAGCTATGTGGAGATGATGAGATTATGGTTTCATTTTCTTCTTTTTGTTATCATATTGATTTTCTAATAAAAAGAGGAAAAAAGTAACTTTTAATAAAAAAAAAAGAGTAGAATCAAAAACCATGGCATACCCAACAGAGTCCTCAAAACTCTGAAGGTGGGAATAACAGAGAACTTATATCTGAAAATCACGTTAAGCAGGAGAAATATTTGAGTGGCTACATGTCATCACTATGCTATATTAAAATGTCATTCTATTTTTATATAGAAAAAGACAATCACCAGCAAAGAAATATATTTGATGAAATGGGGCAACTAAATTAAAATTTTGAAGCTCAGGCAAATTAAGCTATCTCCTAACTCTTCCCCAAAGCTATCACCTAACTCTTTCCCAAATTTCATAAAGCCTTACCATAAAGATCAGGTCCATGATGAGTAAAGACATTATACAAAACAATGTTGAGTGGTGCAATCACCAACTTCCCATAATAATAGCTGTCAATGACCACCACAGGCACCTAAAACAGAGCAGAAAATCCCCAATAATTGTAAAGTTTTGCTCTGGAAACATTCCCAAAATCTAACAGAAAAAACCTGAGAATGAAATACAGCATAAACTCCTAATGTTCCCTTTTTCACATCTAAAAGTTGCTTTCATTACAACTCTAGAACAAAACAAGAAAAAAAGAAAACTCACCAGAAAGAGCATTAGGGCCACCAGGAACCACTGACAGAAACTCTTCCACCTGTGTTTCATGACCAGCAAATCAAAGGCAATGGGTAAACTAACAGAGAAACAGAGAGTGGGGAGTTAAAATACTTACAGAAACAGATCAGATTCACATGTACCTCAAGCTAAACAGAATAAAATGTCTCTGTCAATTATAGTGAGGTGTATATATATAGCTGGTATGTCTTCTCAAAAATACAGCTATTTGTCGCTTAACACTGGGGATGCATTCTGAGAAATGTGTCATGAGGTAACTTTGTCATTGTGCAAAAATCAGAGTGTATTTAAACCTAGATGGTATAGGCTACTACACACTTAGGCTATATGGTATAGCCTATTGCCATATGTGTCATAACACCTGTACTTCTCCTTTGATAAGTCATCATACTTTTAATTATTTGTTCAATGTCTGACTTTCCTACTAAAACGTAAGCTCCAAAAGGCGCAGAACCATGACTATCTAATTTATATAATATCATCAGTGCCTAGCACAATGTATTCAATAAATAACAGTAGATTGCTAACTGATTGATTGCAATGCTGAAATCACTTATCACAACTAAAGGCAGACCAATCAAAATGCGCCACTCAGAGGTATTTGGGGAACTCAGCAAAGTTCAACATACATGGAATAGAGAATGAAAGGAATGAAGAAACTGACAAAAAGAGGCTGGAATTGTAAAAACCGGGAAGATAATGCAAAGCTTTGTGAGTCACCTTTGGGTTTGGACACCATAGAGCAGGGACTGGCAAACTTTGTTATTTAAAGGACCTGACAATATATATTTTAGGCTTTGCAGGCCATATATGGTCTCTGTTCCATGCTCTTCTGTGTGTGTGTGTTGTTTTTAAACAACCCTTTAAAAATGTAAAAACTATTCTTAGTTCTTGGATGTATAAAAACAGGCAAGCTAGATTTGGGCCATGGACCACAGTTTGCCAACATAAAATTTATGACATAAAGCAATGGGGAAGCTATTATAGAGTTTACAACAGTGGAGAAATAAAACCACATATGCATTTTAGGAAGATAACTCCAGTTTGAGAGTAGATAGTAGATTCACATGGGTCAATATTAGAGACAAAGAGATCATTCAAAAGGCTGTGCAGTAATCCAGGAATGGGGAGATCGGGGGCGGGGGGGGGGGGGAAATAGATTCAAAAGATATTCAGGACATACAATGTGCAAAAGAGTCACAGATAATTTTCAGGGTTCTGGCTCAGTATTGAGAAGATGATGGTACCATTTCCTGGGATAAAAACATAGGCAAAGGAACAGATATGGATGGAAGATTGAGTTCAGGAGATATCTAATGAGCAGCTAGGAATATACAAGTGAAGGTCAAGAGAAATGATTGTACTAGACAAAAAGATATGGGAATCATCAAGGTGGCTGAGAGAGAGCAGAGAGTATAGAAGAGGGCCAAAGATAAAATCTTCAGGAATAAAATAATTTGAGGATGATATGCAGAATAGAAGAAAGGAATGGAGCTAGCAAAACCAGCCTTTAAAGGGCCATTAAGAAAGTTTAAAATGAACTATTCTCTGACTTAATAACTCCCCTTCTAAAAATTTCCCCACAGATAAATTTCAACAAGTACATAAAGACAGCTTTACAAAAATGTTCACTGAAGCATTGAGTACAATAGCAAAAAAATGAAAACCAAATGTCTAACCAATAAGGTAATGGTTAAATAAATAATGGATAAGGGCCAGCCCATGGCTCACTTGGGAGAGTGCAGTGCTGATAACACCAAGGCCATGGGTTCGAATCCTATATACGGATGGCCAGTTTGCTCACTCACTGAGCGTGGTGCTGACAACACCAAGCCGAGGGTTAAGATCCCCTTACTGGTCATCTTAAAAAAAAAAAAAGATAAATAAATAAATAATGGATAGCCAAAACAGAATGCTATGCAACTGATATAAAGAACAATATAAATCAGTGTATAAGAAAAGATATACATATGTACAGGATAATTCTCTTTGTTTTAAGAATATAGATATGTAACTATATGTGTGGACACTTACACACATGAAGATAATTTCTGGAAAGATATATACAAAACTACTAGCGGTGACTATCTTTGAGGACTGGGCTAGGGAGAAAAGAACTAAGAATTCTTTTTACCCCATACAATCTGTTACTTATTTTTTTACAGTGAAGATATAATACTTTTATAATAACCTTAATATCAAACTAAAATATTTTTCTAAATTACTAGTGGGACATGCAAGAAGCTAAGGCAGTACAAACTACAGCAGAATTGGTAGGAACAAAGAGTGTAAAAGGAACTTGAGAAAAAAAAGATGTTGGGACAAGAAAGGAAGAAGACTGAAGGAAACTCAGATTTCAAGCCTGGGTGACTGGAAAAAAGCATGGCACAGGGTGGTATAGAGTGGAAAGCATCAGCTGTGAAGTCAGAAAAGCCTGGATTCAAAAGCAAGCTTAATCTTAAAGGCAAATTGTTCAGACTCTTGGAGTCTACTTTCTCATATACAAAGCACTAATAACTGTATTTCTCTTGCAGGGTTGTTGTTAGGTTTAGGGATAAAGGTTATAAATGATTTAGCAGGCCTAACATAGCAGATGCTTAATAGTCACTATTCTTAGTAGAATTAACCATAATAATAAGTACTAAGACAAATATTCTTCCACTTCCCAGACTCTCTGTAGGCCCAACTGATTCCTATAACTTTAGGTGATACCCAGACAATATGGAGCTAATCCAACATTAAGATTTACTATATGCCTACCTAGTGCTATATGAGGGAGAGAAAATGTTAGTTTCTTACCCAAGAGCTGCACTGAATGGCCAGCCTAAGATAGCCCCAGCAGCTACTCCCAGCACAGCAATGGAAGTCTTGTCCATATACCACCCAGTCATGGCTATCAACGTTGTGTACATACAGAAGCTACTAGGAAGGAATGCTGCCATGAAAAAAAGGGAGGGAACAAGAGTTTGAGATTTATTAGTTACCAATTACTAAAAATTTACCTACATTGCAAAATGTCAAAAACCAAGAACATATTTTGGGCAATAATATATTAGAAATGGGCAGGAAAGTGATACACCTTAAAAAAATGAAGTTCAGTCATTTCTTATTTTCTCAATCTTGTTTTTTTAGGTACCAATACATGGTCCCAATTACACAATACTAACCATGCCATTCCTCTTCTGGCCTGTAACCCAAATCCAAAACTTATAGAATTCCAGGTTCCCAGGAACACCCTCAAGTTATATCTCCAGGCAGGAAATATGCTTCAAAAAACTTATGCAGGTTCCCAGGAACACCCTCAAGTTATATCTCCAGGCAGGAAATATGCTTCAAAAAACTTACAGCCATTGCTGATAATTTATTTCTGAAGAAGCTTATCTTCTGACGGTCTTCTGGGATGTCCTGGTCCTAACCTGTACCCCACAGGAATTCTAGGAAGACTTCTCAAGGGTCAGATGTTGGATGGCAGTACCACTTTGCATCCTGCATCCACTGACATAGATAGTCTGGCCTTTAGATAGCCTCCTAACTATTTCCATCGCCCATAACCTTGTTGTACATATAGCAGGGAACTGAGCACATTCAGGGTCTCTGCAACAGTAACGATTGATCAAAGTGCTTCTAATAACTGCACAAAATTGCAAATCTGCCTTTCCATCTCCAGAAGGCCTGCTTTACCTAACATATGGGGAAGAAAAATCAGTATCAACTCCAACAAGAACCACAATAAACAGGCAGTGAGGTTTAAGAAACTCAGAAAAGGGTTCAGAGGCTCTGTATCAAAGGATGCCTTCAATTTATTTGTGCCTCAACTGAGATAACAAAACTAAAGATACTCCCAGGAATCACCCATACATAAAAATCAATTTTTGGAGTACTAAAGTGACTGAAAAAACATATGAGGTACAACCTTCACAGATAAATACTAAATAATATTGATGCCATCCAAAGCTGTCAATTCCACCTGCCAAAGTAGAGGGCAAAGGAGCAGGGGAATGTGAGGTCTCTGCCAGCTGAGAAGGTAAAAAGAATACAGTCACATTTAGGATAATGGCTGTCAAAGCTATTCCAGGGTAAAGCCCTGAGGTCTCTACAGAACATCAATTTTGATGTATTTGATGAAGGAAAAGTAAACATATAACTTGGTGCTGGATACTATTTTTTGTGCATATGTAGTATGTATAATAGATTCCGGTACACACAAGCAGAAACTAAAATTGAGACAATTATATCTAGTAACTTAATTTTTCTGGAGAATTGACAACAGACTACCTTTTGGCAGCAGGCCACCTTGGCTCAGCACATAGAACACAAATGTCCGATGGCAGCACAGTTTGAAAGCGACCACTCTAGATTAATGTTTTTATTCTAAATTTTTAAAAGCTTGTTGTAGAGAAAAGCTCAACAGAAGACGCACACCTCTATAGAATACATCTCAAATAATGAGCAGAAAACAGAACCCTCAAGAACAGGGTTTTTAAGCACAAAGAGCTTCCTTAAACAAAATAACAAAAAATTATTTTCCTTCTTCTAATGGCCAAAAAAGGAAGTAAGTGGTTAATACAAGAAGGTAACAGAAAGCAACCTGGTGAGACTATCAGCTCTACCACCCATGAATTTTGACTTTTAGTAAGTCGTTTCACCTTTCTAAGTTTCAGTGTCTTTATTCGCAAAAATGAGAAAATACTTATCTTACTAATACCACAGTATTTGTATAAAGGTCAATCAAGATCATGTGGAAAACAGTACTCTGAAAATTGTTGACATGTTATACAAATACCACCTAAATTTGGACAAGAGCTTTTTTCAATGCGACTGTGAACTATCGGTGAACATGCTATCCCCTCACCTGCCCTTTTACTTACCTGATGATGAACAAAACATGCCAGTGCTGAGAACCAAGAAGGCCAGCATCATTCGACTCACATGCAGCCCAAACTTCTTGCACACAGCCCTAGGAGAAAGACAAAGACTGTCAGCATAGCAAATACTAGGGACAGATATTTCAAATCAAAGGAGAAAAACATGCCTGCATCTTAGATAACACTGAAGATCTAAAGTCAAATACAAAACTATTTTGACACGTCTGTTAGCAATTTTGTGTGCATAAAAATCCCAAGCATTCTTACTTCCAGCACAGGACAGAAGTTCCCTGAGAGGAAATGTATACTTTATGTGCTAAGATTACATCTACTCTCAATAAGAAAACAGCACTGTTTAGTGAAAAATAATAGGCCTCAGATTCAGATGGACACAGGTTCAAATTCTGACTCTGCCACTTACCAGCAGTGGGACCCTGGTCTAGTCATATAATCTCTCTCTCAGATTCCTCATCTATAAAATGAGGATAATAAATAATACCTATTTGGTAAGGTTTCAGTGAGGACAATGCATGGAAAAGTTCTTAGGAGAGTGCATGGCAAATAGTTGCTCAACAAATGGTAGTCGTCAGAAGAAAAGACTAGGAGGTACACCAAAAGTTAACAAGGGATTATCTAAGTCAGTCTTTCTCAAACTTAAGTAATTATACACTTCCTTCCACTTCTTTCTTGTAGGTTTTTTTTTTTTTTTTTTTTTTTTTTTTTTTTTTT